CACATGCAAAAGAATGAAGTTGGACCCTTACCTCACACCATATGTAAAAATTAACTCAAAATGGATCAAACCTAAGCATAAAAGATAAAACTCTTAGAAGAAAACATAGGGGAAAAGCTTCATGACATTGGATTTGGCATTGGTATCCTACATAACAACACCAAAAGCACAAGCAATAAAAGGGAAAAAAATACATCAGAATGTACAACTTTTGTGCACAAAGGACACTAACAAGAGTGAAAAGGTAACTTATCATAAAAAGACAAACAACCAATTAAAAATGGATAAAGGACTTGAACAGACATTTCTCCAAACAATATATACAAGTAGCCAATAAGCACATGGCAAGATGCTCATCACTAATCATTAGGGGAATGCATATCATACCACAATGAGGTGACACCTCACACCCACTAGAATGACTATCATAATAAAAACAAAAAGTGATGTGGAGAAGTTGGAACCTGGTGCACTTCGGTAGGAATGTAAGATGGTGCAGCCACTGTGGAAAATAGCATGGAGGGTCCTCAAAAAAATAACCCACCACTCCTGGGTACAGAACCAAAGAATTGAAAGCAGGGTATTGAAGATATATTTGTGCACCCATGTTCCCAGCAGCATTATGCACTAATGGCCGAAAGGTGGGAACAAACCAAATGCCCATCGACGAATGGATGAGCACAATGTGGTAACATATATACAACAGAATGTTATTCAGTCTTAAAAAGGAAGGAACTTCTGACTCAGGCTGCAACATGGATTAACCTTGATGTGAAATAAGCCAGTCACAAAAGGACAAATACTGTGATATCCCTTATATGAGGCCCCTAGAGACACTGAATTCATAGAGACAGAAAGTAGATGGTAGGTGCCAGGGCTGGGGCGCGGGGATGGGGAGTTAGTGTTTCATGGGGACAGAGTTTCATTTTGGGAATATGGAAAAGTTGTGGAAATGATAGCTGTGCAACAATGTGAATGTGCTTAATGCCAACACACACTTAAAAATAGTTAAAATGGTAAGTTTTATGTTCTATATATTTTACCACACACAAACACACACAAACAGGTTAAGAATCCCCACCTTTACCTACTTATCCAGCAGGTATGTATGTCCCCACTCTTAGGGGCAGACATGGGCCAGCTTCCTGGAGCCTCTAGTCTGAAGTCAGATATTGATCAAATAATCACATGCACATACTCACATATACATAGACTCATACACGCACTCACACACACATGCACTCACACTTACATGTGCACGCATGAGTAAGCCCACACTGCACGTAAGTGCTAGAGAAGCAGCAAACTCCAAACTGCTCCAGGCCCGTCTGTCAGGTGGCATGAGGGTGAGGGGCTGGGGATGAGGAAGACACACGGCCCAGCTCCTAAGGTCCCCACCTTCCAGGGCAGCAGGGCAGCCCCTCCTCGTGGGCACCTTGGTCAGAGGAGACAAGAGGACCATCCAGCAGCAGGGACTCCACGGGGACTGACTCAGACACATGGCAGGGTGAACAGGTCTGACCTCTGCTCTCGCCATCCCAGGTGGAGTAACAGCCCGCATCTCTGCCCCCTTGGCCCCTGGTGCCAATTCCCCCTCTGCCCAGGCCCCCACCTGCTCTCCTCCTTGGCCAGACTCATCTAGACTGGGACAGGGGACTCTCCCAGCTGGCAAAGGTGACTTTAGTTGTGATCTGTGTGGTGGCCAAGGTCAGGTGTCCTGACTGTTCCGGGATTATTCTCAGCTTTGTGAAGAACTGGACAAGAATTTCAGGGGTCTTGAGCAGGTCCTTCATTTCTCCAAAAGTCAAATTAGGAGCTGGGTCAACACATGTTCAAATGGCAAGAGAGGGAGTCATGAGAGCATGTGCCCAGAGAACAGGGAACTGGGGATGGGGGACAAAGATAGGGGCCTTGGGGCTGAGGATGGGGGACAGGGGTAGAAGATGAGGGAGTTATGGGGAAGCAAAGGTGGGGGACAGAGGACAGGGGATGGAGGACAAGAATGGGGGACTGGGTACAGTGGTGGCCTCGGCAGCTTGCCTGGCTTAGCCTCCATGACCTTGCCGGGCCAGGCCAGGCCGGCTGCCCGGCAGTGCTTCCTTTGCTCATCCCAACACCCGACACCAAGTGGACCAGGTGCAGCTTGAACAAAGCAACGTGATGAATGAAAGGCTGCAAAAGTCAGTGTTTCCACAACTTCCTAGGGCATTGTCATCGTCGTGTCCCGTCCCGTGTCGTCCCCCCCCGTTTCTGTGTGGCTTCTGTGAATTCCATGCTGGCAGGCCAGAATGAGGTGGCTGGAGACCCTGAGGCGTGACTGCACTGCCCCCGTGTGGTCGACTGCTTGTGGGCTGTGTTGGGTGTCCTTTACCTTCCTGCCCCTTTGCCAGGGCAGCCTGGTGGAGCAGAGGGCTTGCTCACCACCCTTCAGGTAGCCCTGCCCCCCAGCAGGACACCTCCCCCTACCCCCAAAGCTCCCAGTCCCCCTCACCCCAGTCC